TGTGAGGAACATGTGGAGAATGCTTTCTTCTTCCCTTCAGTAGAACGGATCCTGAAGATAGTCCTCAGTATAAAAAAATAGGAAGTTAGAGTCAACCCACAAGTACACATGCCATAAACCACATCTGCAACCTTTGTCATAAACTCATTTATGCCAGTGTCCGAACATGAAAGATGTAATACTGTAGGGATATCACAATAGAAATGATTTATAACATTGGAATCACAAAAAGAAAGCTGCAGGAGAACTCCCGTATTCACAGCAGTATTTATCATTCCAGTAATCCATACAAAGATTGCAATGCCAACACATACTTCTTTCCTCATGATAATAGTGTAATGCAAAGGGTGGCAGATGGCAGCATAGCGATCAAAAGCCATAAATGAGAGAAGGACCAACTCTGACCCCAATGCCCATATAATGAAAAATATCTGTGTGATGCAGCCATGAAATGAAATTATTTTTCTATGGGTCCAGAGACTTTGTAGTAACCTAGGAATGGTAACTGAGACAGACAGTATATTTAGTAAGGACAAATTGAATATGAGGAAGTACATGGGTGAGTGGAGTTTCTTGAACATAGATATGGTAAAAATAAGGAGTAAATTGGCAGTTAGAGCTGCAACATAAATGAAGGCAAACACCCAGAAAAGAAGAATCTGCAGCTCAGGGGAATCAGTGAGACCCAGCAGAATAAACTGTGTGATGGCAGAATTATTTCTTATTTCAGCAACTCTGATTATAGTGACCTAAAAAGACATATTATAGGATTAATTCTTTCCTGATGTAATCATCATTTGTAATATTAAAGATAATCAATGGTGGATACAAAGACTAAATAAATAAATATCATCAACAACAAAAACCCAGGTATTTTATTCTGAAAACTCATGGTCAATCAAGATGATCAGATTCATCGACTTAGAACTAAAATGCTTTATATATACTGTCTGGTTGAATATATACAATGTTAATTTTCTTGATATTTAAAAATCATATATTATTTTTTTCATAAATTATTTCCATTTCAGATAACATACCAAAGACATGGTATAATTCTCTTTAGAATGTGTTAAATAACCTGTTAACTTAAGAGCAATCAAGATCTAAAGATTTATGTAGTCCTGAAGTTAATAATCTGCCAAAAGTATCTTTTTATCCTTCTGCAATTGATCATATGGCTAATGATCTTAGCTTATCAAGAAAACATAATTTACTTAATTCTAAATTACAATACAAAGTAACAAACATTAAGTAGCACATGTGATCTGTGCATTTCTGGCAGTAATTGGAGGTTATTTGAAATGCAAATTGTCATTGTGAAACTTTTATTCTGTACTGGGAACATACTTTAGTTTTGAAGGTCTTATTTGATGAATACTTGCTGTGATCCAATACAGATTAGAATCCATCTGGTTTCAGTGTGGATCAAAACAAACCACTAATAATTTCCTAACATTATTCAGAAAATTGAAATCAGAAGAATTCTTCAAAATTGTACTCTTTTGCTAAATAAGATTAAGAGTTTGAATGGGACCTGTTGAATGGAACTAGATGTCTCCAAAGATAAATAATATTTTTCCCTAAACTGAAATGACAAATATACAGTATAACAAGACAATTTTAGATCTGAACTGAGGTTTTCTTAAGCTTTCTAATTGAATAGATTTTTTGCTCCTTAATATATAGTTATGAACTAAACTTCGTTGGCAAGATATTGTGTATTTGTACATTATTATTTTTATATTGTTTAGTTATTTACTGTCAGTAGTATTTAATTATAAGTACTTAATTACAGTTGTTTTTATGTTTGTGTTTAGAGTATTATGAAATCTGGATTGAGTGCTCTTTTTTAAAAGCTAGAATGTCCTCATTACATTTCTTTCTATAGGAGTTAATTTATGTTATCCTACCTTAAATTTCATTTATCAAAATAAAGTTTCTATATATTTTTAAGTCTAGGTAACTTTTCACTGATAATGAATTGAAAATCTCTTTATGGCATGTTCTAATTATTTCCACTAATAAGTATTATGAATGAGATAATAAATTATGTAGTTTTCTTATTAGTGGGTTTAACCATGCACACAATTTAATAAGAATTAAGGAAGTTAAATTGATCATCCACATTCAGTGATTTCAAACTTAAGAAACCACAATTGTTTTAAAATAGCATATTAAAAAGCAAATATTTTGAAAGAAAATATATTTAAAATCTACTGTATTTGGTTTTTTTTAAAAAAAAGGCTGTTATTTACTATATGAAATATGGAAAGTACACACATAATCAGAAATCATATTTTATGAATGAATGAGAGAGGGGGGGAGGGAGGGAGGGAGGGAGAGGGAGGGAGGGAGGAGGAAAAGAAGGAAGGAAGGAAAGAAGAAAGGAAAGAAAAAAGGAAGGAAAAACAGAAAAAACATTTCTCATGTAGAAAATATGAATAGTCTTATATATTCCTGTGATGATATAACATTCAGTTTTTAATTAGTTATAGTCATTTCATTTAACAATAGAAGAAAATAAAAACAAAATTAATTAAACTAATATTAATATTAATTAAACTAATATGCACAATATACTTTTTGGAATAATCTTCTAAAAGAGACTACTTACTGCAGAAGGAAAATCATTGTCTGTAAGAGTACAATATATATAACAAAGTGATAAAAGCTGATTTTTCCCCCTTTTCAATGTGAATTGACATATTGGAAAACAGAGAAGGTTGGAGAAATATATGATTCAATTTTAATGAAAAGAATCTAACTATATATTATACTTTCATTACCCTAATTAATATGAAATGTGTAGGAAATGGTAATGCAGTAAAGATGATGATTTTAAAAAATCTCAGAAAGATTCTTTAAAAAAAAAAAGGATAAATAACAATCTGAAACAAAAGTATACTTAACATGAACAGCAAAGGTTAAAATAAATCTATGAAATGAAAGGGAAGTGTACCAGATTTAGATATCTAAATCCCTCCCTTATAGAAGTTCAAAGAAAGGTAAAAAAAAAAAAGGATGGAAGAATTGAAACAGTTACCTTCATTCTTATTTCTTTTTTACTTTCTTTTTTTGTGCTAGGCTTTGGTTCTCTGAGTGATGGAAATATATTTTGGTTTGACATTTATAATCAGCAAACCATTGGAGCCAATCACTTTTCATCAGTCTGATGGGAAGGGCTAAGTCTAAGATAGGCACCTTATTTACAGTATAATCCAATCTTCTGGTTCTTTCTTCTAACAAATTGATGAGAAGGAGAAAGTCCTTGGAGTAATGAAAAGAAGCATGGTCCTTCCAATTCCAAAACAACTTTTGTTTACATTTTCATTTAGCTCTATAATTACATTTTGTACATTAACAAAAGTCCAACTTTTACTTTTAGTCTTGTTCAACTAAAATGTATTTGTTAAAAGCTCTTTAAAATGCAGTTTTAGTGGGGAGATTTATAGCACAATGTTGCCTCTTTAATAGATTAAACTGGGATGAATTACCTAGGTTACACTTGCACTAATAGAGTTATTAATATATGGATTGAAACTCAACTACAGTTTTATATCCAATAGTTTCCTAGAATTTATGAAAATAAATTGTACATAAGTGTTTTGGTTATGAAAAAAACCAATAAATATACAAGACTAAGTTTGCATCTCTCTAAAGATTTTTATAAAATATATGTGTCACTTGTTCAGACAATGTTGTGTGTGTGTACACACACACACACATATTCCAGAATTTATATTTTATTTGCAATACATCCTTCCACAAAGTCCTGCTATGTTTCCTCATTGTGAGGGTGGATTTTCTTGGGTGGGACCAATAAATAATAAGAACTATAGAGAAAGAGTAAACATATACAATCCAGCAGGATCACTGTTAGGAATGATAGTCACCTAACAGTTGGGTTGGCAATATATAAACCAGGATATTCATTTAATACTGTTGTATCTTTAAGAGAATGTTGTAATTGTGATTGGCTGAGGTTCCTCCAATGGCCATAAGATGGAGCCAGTAACCTGGTTAGTTCTTTTTTGCATTTCCTTTGCTTCCTCAGATAACACTCAGATAACTGAGTGTTAGTGTGAATACACAGTACTGTATACAGACAGCTGTGTATTGTTTAATTGTGGGTTACTGTCCTGGTAAAGATGGCACAAGACCCGTCAACAAGTCTATCACTGATAACCCAGTTGGATGGAACAAACTATGTTTCCTGGTCTATGAACTGCAGTCTACTTCTGCGTAGGGAAGGGTTATGGGCTGCAGTTCAGGATCCACTGGATGTAAATGCTTGGGATCCAGATGATGAGGATGATGCCAAAAAGTTAGCTGACTTTAAACGGAACAATGAACGAGCTCTTTGTATAATTAGATTAACACTGAGAGACCAGCAGCTAGTCCATATTTGTGGAGAAGAGTCTGCTGTTAGGTGTTGGGAGAATTTGAAGAGGATTTATGTTCGTGACAGTGTGGGTGCACACATACATCTTACACTTAAACTGTTTAGAACATGTCTTCTGAAAGGTGGAGATATGTTAGCTTATTTGAACTTTATGAAAAGAACTTTTCAAGAGCTACATGAAAAGGAACTGTTTTTTTCAGAGCTGAATCGGGTTTACATCATTCTTTCTTCATTGGATGAAAGTTATGATAATTATGTATCTTCACTGGAAGTCCTGACCAGAAATGAACTGACATTGACTGACATAACCGGACGATTGTTAGAAGAGGCCAGAAGAAGGCAGGATAGAGACCAACTGAGAGAGAAACAACTATAAGAAGAGGATTTGTTTTCAACTGCCTATGCTGTTAGGAAATGTTTTTCTTGTGGGGCTAAGGAACATATAGCTAGATTCTGCAAGAAGGACAAACAACAGAATACTGGTAATCACCAGAAGGCTAAGAAGAATGTTAATTTAGCTATGTCTAGCAATTCAACTGTAAACCATGATTTGTGGGTAGCTGATAGTGGAGCATCACAGTGCATTACTAGAACTAGAGAGAGGTTTGTAAAGATGTCCATGAGTAAGCAACATGTATCATTGGCAAATGGATGGAAGATGAAAGCATCTGGTGAAGGTACTGCATATTGTTCATGTGTAAATGAGCATTTACCTATGTTATATGTATCTAAATTGAAATTTAATTTGTCATCAATAAGGGCTTTAGTTAATATTGGTTATGTAGTAACCTTTAGGGGAGATAACTGTTTAATAGAGAAAGAGGGTAAAAGTGTTACTGCTACTTTAAAGAATGATTTATATGTAACACATGATGAACAGTTAAAGATGACTAACTCAGTTTATAACAATGTTAAGCCACATGATGAATGTATACATTTACTGCATAGACGTCTGGGGCACATTAATTTCAAAATGCTGAAACAAACTGTTAAATTGTCAGAGGGAGTAAAATTAAAACCCTGTAGCAAGTACTTAAACTGTAATGCCTGTAATCAGGAGAAAAGCAAGGTTACTCCTGCAAACAGACTGAATGGGTTTAAGACCAAAAACCCTTTAGAAGTTGTTTTTGATGACATAATTGGTCCTAAGACACCCAGTTTGGGAGGTGCCTGCTATGTTTTGAGTATAATGAACCATTACTCATGGTACGGTTTTTGCTATCTAATGAAAAACAAAACAGAAACGTTCCAACATTTCTTTAACTGGCTAAGATTTGCTGAAAGGAAAATGAGACATAGGGTAATTACCTTAGTTACAGATAACGGGACTGAGTTTATTAACACTAGATTCCAAACGATATTGAAATTGGCTGGTGTCGAGCATAAGCGTTCTGCCCCTTACAGGCCACAACATAACTTGTTTATAGAACGAAGGGGGCAAATGTTACAAGCCATGGCTTGCACTATGTTATCTGATTCAGATTTGCCTGCAACATTGTGGGGTGAAGCTATAATGTGTAGCAACCATGTTTTAAATAATGTGGTGAAGACAACAACTGGTGAATTGCCATTCACTCGTTGGCATGGCAGAAAACCAATTTAAGTTATCTACATACATTTGGAGCTCCAGCATGGGTGCATATT